ATAGAACTTTGTAACTTCTGGCAAAATATGGAAAAAGTTTAATTTTTAAATTTTTTACCTTAGTTGTGAAATGACTTGTGTAAATCAGCTCTCAAATATTTTTCAAAATGGGAATAGATTAAACTATAAATAGAATTTGAATTGGAATTTTTTGTTTGCCTAAGAAGTGTTTAATGAAATAAAATACGATTGTGAATAGAAAAGGAACTGTAACTTCGATTTTACGAGTTGATACTTATCACACTTGGTGGGGATATTAAAACAAATCCTGGACCACAACTTACAAAGAAACAGCGGACTTTATCGTTTGTGGAAAGTTCTTCTTCTCTGTCGGCTCGGTGCCACACAGGAAGTCTCAAAACGTACATATACACAGGCTAATAACAAAGACAAGGACAATGGGTAAACTTTTTTTACACGAGATGAAAGCTGATATCACAGCATTACACAATAAAATTGACTCTATAAAAGCGCTGTAAATGTCTTACAAACTGAAAATAAACCTTCAGGAAAGAAAACCATGATATCAAACATCAGATTAGTAAACTCTCGACAAAAATTGATAATATCGAAGGACAATCCCGTAGAAATATGTAATTCAAGGTCAGATTGGTGAGTCCTGGAGGAGACTATCAACTAATTGAGGAACAATTCAAGGGCATAATGATTTACCGAGTCTGCAATTCTCTTGATTTTTTTTTTGGGGGGGGGGGGGTTAATGCTTCCGAGGGATCACTTTGTTTCCAGATTTTTATATTACACGGCGCGGACAATTGGAAGGACGCAAAAAAACGACCGTATATGCCATATTATTACAGAACTTTTACGATACAAAGAGAGAGAGGCCATTTTGTGTAAAGCGTGTGAAGTTTATGCTAGACAGGCCTATTTTTCGGTGCGTGAGGATTTTTACAAATGCTTAGACGGGAAATATGCAAGCGAATAAGCTAATAATTGACAGTGATATGTATAGATATGAAGAGTTATTCTACGAAATCACGAGGATCGGGAGTACTAGACTGAGACTGGCTACACAACAGCGTGGCATGGAACCACTTGATAAAACATGGCGAGGCAAACACAACCACGTGTGTTTCGCGTCATCGATGTGGATTAATCACGATACGCAGGTGGTAAAGATAACGAGGCAGAAGTCGGGATTGAATAGGACGGAGGTCAAGGTCCACGTGTTGAAGTAAACATAAACATAGTCTCATGGAATATATACGTAAATTAACAGAAAATGAATCATTTATAAACTCCATTCAGTCCTTTAATACCATTGGATTAGATGAACCATGCAAGATGCCATATTTTGTATAGCATATATGTCGCCTGAAGGTTCAAATATCTACAATAGCAGAGATTCTGAACGATATAATGGATAGGCAAATCCCTGTCTGAGCTTTGTTGTAAATATACTTTACAGATTTTAAATGGTAGATTATATGATGACATTGTTGGTAATTATAAATGTCTTACTCATAATTGTTTCAGTGTTGTTGACTACCATATTGTTGCTTCTGAATTGTTTTTATTTATAATCTACTTCAGTGTTGATGTAAAGGATGACTAAGACCACTTTCCTTTAATATCTAGATTTAGCTTTATTAAGCATATCGATTGCCAATTGAGACAAAAAGATTTTTCAAATGATTTTTAGAGAGTTACCATTACAAATGGTGTAATTCACACACAAATACATTTATTGAAAAATTAACCAAAGCAGTTAATTTAACCCGAATAATATCATGAATATCATTGAATATAAACAATAATTCCGCGGACAGTGCGATTTTTAATATATATGAATCTTCTGCGTACACTGTAGGAAAACACCACATAATGAATTAGGTATGAATGAAAATTGTAGCGAACTGAACTAAATTACGTTGCGTTACGAAGATTTCGACGGACAAATGATTAACAAAATTTTCAGAATTATATTGAATTTTGCAGTTTAAGAATAAGTGTTATATTAAAAATGCCTTTGTTACCATACTGATAGAAACAAGTTACTTAAGTGAAGTAAAAATTCTTTAAAAAATGGAAAATGTTATAATTCAGTCAAAATAAAGATGGAATTAAATCTCAAAATATAGAACCCGATACATGGATGAATTAATTCATAGGTGGTAGATTTTATGTTCTTTATGTTGATCTTCAAATGGCCTTTGATTGAGTATTACATCACAAATTGTTTAATTGTTTACATATGGTCGGGGTTATGGTAATATCTTGCGCGTACTAATATCTATGTATTTAAATCTACACTGTTTCGTCTGAGTAGACGCTGACAAAGTAACTAAGTCATTTACTTTACTACACAAGGGGACGTTACTGTTACAAACATGTTCAATCTTTTAATGAGTTATTCCGCATCCTACGAGCAAAAGGTCATCGAGGCATTTTTGTCGCAAATCAAATTTATGATTTAATATGTATTCATTTGCAAATTGCGCCGAAACATCAATTTAAATGTAATAACAATTAAATACCATTACAGAATTAGTAATAATACATGTATGACTATAAATCAGTCGAAAGCCGAAATATTCGTGTTTAGAAATGTCGGTCAATTAAGGTTATACGAACCTTGGTCATATAATTGTGTACCTGTAAATATTATATCTTGTTACAAATATATAGGATAATTATTTACATCGAAATTTTCTTGTTCTATAGCAAAAACCAAAAAATTGCTGCACAAGCCAAAAAAATTTATTGCTATTTAACCTACCAGAGCACGTTTGGATATTTTTCACACAATTCATGTTTTAATTCATCTAAATCAATGGTCAAATCTATTCTCACTTATGGAGCGGAAATATATGGTACTGAATATTCGGATATTTTAGAGTAAGTTCAGATTCAAAATTGTAGATATTTCTTGGGTGTTAATACTCTAAATTGGTAAATGATTGTGAGGCTTTGGGGGAATATGGAAGACATCCATTGTGTATTAAATATCATATCAAATGTATTAAAAACTGGATCAAACTTTTATGTATGTCTGATAATAGATATCCAAGAAATTCTTATTTAATTTTGAAACAATAGGAAGAATTAATAGGGCATTTTCTATTAGAAATTTGTTATATAGATATGTGTTCTGTTAAACACAACTGTTTGTCATGCAATAATTCTTTCCTGTCTTACTTTAAACAAAGACCTGTGGATTGTAAATTGCAAAACTGGTATCAACAGATAAATGACTCGTTTACTTGTGATACATATAAACAATTCAAAAACAATGTTAAATGTTTAAAGATATTTATGTATTAATCTTACATTTTATATAAGGAAAGCATTTGCAAAATTGTGTTGTCTAAGTTATAGGTTTTTAATTGAAACTGGACGTCTTATTGGTCTTCAAAGAGAAGATCGTTATTGTCAATATTGTTATGCTAATTTTGATACACGATGTCTTGAAGATGAATTTTATGTGTTCTTAAAATGTTAAAAATATAGACAAGAATGATATCAATTTTTATTGAACTGGTTTAATAGTAAATTGGAATCCGTTGATTATTGTAATTTAATGCAGTGTTCTGATGATGTTCAAATAAGACCAGTTGCATTTTTGTACATGTCATTATGAAACATGAAATGTGTAATAGCATGACTTTAGACATATGATGTTATATTGTATATATTGTATCTTGGGCCGGAAGCCTTTTTTTACAAATAAAATTTGAATATATGAGTTATACAGTAAAATGACATACAATCTTTCATTACGAAACATGAAATGTGTAATAACATGACATCGCTAATTAAACATATGATGTTATATTGTATACATTGTATTTTGTTGGACGTATGCAAAGAAACTCTTTCGACATGTAATACTATGAAAGTAGTTCTTAACTAAAATAGGAATGATATTTGATTTACGGTTTAATGTATAGTCCACATTTAAGCAGTTCCTTGGTCCCTTAGTTTTCAAGTGTGTCCCTATCATTGTTGTCCGTTTGTGCCAAATAACATCCATAGTGGACAAGGTGCATTATTCTCTAAACAAAAATTAATTTTACTCGTCCTATAGTTTAATTTAAATATGAATGACAAAAAATAAAATAAAAAGACTAACAATACCCAAACAATACAACATAAATGTCAATTGTTTCTTTTGCATAATTTTTGTCTATGTAAATATATGTTCACATTATACACTATAAATGCTAAAATAATTATCTTGAGACTCGGGAACCAGACTGCCTGGATGAGTGGTGGATACATATAGCTTGTCTCCGGTCTCAAGTTTGAAAACAGCACTGATGAAACTTGTACATTCAAAATTATCTGAAGCAACTTTACAAAACGATTTTTCTCCTCCTAACAGAACTTGTTCTGTTCTATCTTCTGATATTCTGTAAATGAAATGTTTAAAATTGGCGCCCGAAACATCTGCTGTGCTATTTATACTGTAGTGTTTTGACTTGAGTTGTGATGAAATGTAGAAATACCCACTCGTTTCTACATGTATTGTTCCATCGTCTGTCAGATATCTCAGCCTAGGACAAGAAAACGATGGGTAAGTGCTATTCCAAAACAATCTCGAAGAATCGTTCTTTTGATCTACAAAATAAATGATAAAATAAACTTACAAAATAAGTGGAATATGCGTTCATCTATTCAATGTTAGAGTATCTAATTGGGATTAGGCGAGACATGACTGCGAACAATCTTTAAAAATGATTTGCCATGATTGAGCGCAAAAATACTTTTTTATTCAATAGCTCTTTCGTTAATTATCCATATTTCCAGGAACCCATTTTATTTTATTCAATAAAACGTATAAAGTTTAAATTTACAAAATTTAAACCTTAATTTCAGTTTACTTTAGTGAGTTTTCAGATCACAAGCCAAACATCTTACAATTTTGATAAATATGTTTTAAAATCTGAAAGGATATCATCATATCATTATTGACTATAAATTAATTTTGTGTGTGCGTCATATTATTAACAATAAATCAATAAATGTTCATATATTACCTTGTTGATTAACACCAAAAATACCAATCAGATTTGCTTCCGGCGGTACAGTCTTCTTTTCGGAAAAGTTAAATGCCGTCATATCAAGTGATGGATATTCTACATAAATTATACAACATTAAATATTTAGTTTTCAACATTAAGCAAATTTATTAGTACACCAGCAGTAGTTCGATTTACTTCTCTCCACAAGCGGATAAAATAATGGGCTCATACAATGATTGGAATAAGATTTTACATATTTATTATCAAATAAAATTTTGTTTCATTTTTGAAATAGTTATATCGATAAAGCATCATTGTATAGATGAAGGGGGATATTTTAACGACAGGCAAAATCGCGCAAAAATGTCAATGTTACAATTAAATATTTAAACACAAAATTAACAGTATCACACATATGGTAAAAAATCAATAGATCAAGATCAGTATCAAAATCAGTATATATAGAACAGAAATCATTATTAGATACTGTTTGTATTAAAAAAAAAATAGTGCATGTACTGTAGGTAAGTATAGTATAACTTACCAGGAAAAGCATCTTCATCATACTTGTCGTTAACAATCTGCAAAAAAAATAAGATAAAATGTTTATGGCATATCTAATGCTGTTAAAATGCATAACATTTGAATTAAACAATACTTTATCATGTCCAATAGTAATGATGTTGTTTATGTACCTTGGCGGAAACTTTATTGAGGATAATGCTCATAGATCCACAACATACTCTTGTTTCTTCCGCCTCGTTGACCCTTTCCTTCAGTCCGTCTGGACACTGGTGACTATCATCTTCAACAGATATAAATGTCCGCAACGGGAGGCACATGTTGGATTCCGTTGGAGCATTTATTTCCGACCTTAATTGTCGCCATTGACCGACAAGTAACAACAGTGCTATCAGTTCAACAATAAGTGTAGAAATAAGGACGATCCGTAATGTTTTCTGGAATAAAAATACAGGAATGTATGTTTTAGTATATTGCATAGGTAGGTTTGGAAACCATATTGAATGCTTTTTGGGTTTAGCTTTTGAATTTGGATTCAACACAGCGTTACATTCTGTACTTGTTAATTATGTTATTGATAGATCTATGTATATCTTCATGCAATGAGTAAGGATTTTTCTCTATAAGGAATATGCTGGGCTATTTTAACGGCAGAAAAATGGGACAAAAATGCCAATGTTGCAATGATATAATTAAAAAGAAAATTGACAGTATCACACATATGGTCACTTATCAATAGGTTTATTTCTTAATGACTTGTAGAAAAAGATCAATAGTTAATAATAAGCAACCACCGACAATCACATACAAAGACTTCCAGGACCTAAAATGGAAACAGGGCAAAAAGTTTTTAAAGACACAAAAGATGTCGGTCAAAAGCTATACATAGCTTATGTTTTGTGAAATGTTTTATACATATATACCGACAATAAATAAATTTTGATTTGATTTGATGATTTGACTTGAGGCAGGGAGGTGTTAACGGAATTATAAAAAAATATTAATATACATGCATGTCGAATTTAGACATTGTTTTCAAAAATGATGGGAATTAAGGGAATATATATATTCGAGGTTCAATTAAAAGAATAGACTATTGACATACATTTTTCAACGTTAGATATGACCGAAGAGCAAAATAATCCTCTCTAAGAAGTACATTAAAATTAATGAAATATTCTATTTTGTTAATGTCCGATTATTACAGACCACTATTCGTTAAAATTTGAAAGCATGGTTTAACCGTTTATAACTTAAAAGAAAAAAAAGACATAAAAATGAACTTTACCTGATATGTAAAGTGTGATCGTTCTTTCCGAATTGAATTGTTTGATTCCATTTAAAATCAAGTTCACTTTACGCCATACATTAAATTGGGTGAGAGCTTGAAAAATTCTACACTAAAATCACTAACCTCAAGGTATAAATAGCACCAGCTACGAGACAAAATAGTTTCGTGTAAAAAAACTGGTTAAACACAAGAGCAGAGTCGATAAATAATATTACAAAGTGTTAGCTCAAATTCGCATTCATGTCTACTATCGGTTTAAATTAAATCAATGATGTGTATATAGCCTATGATAAATCGCGTGAAATTGTAAAAAATGCTATGCATGAAAATGTATCTTATGTACAACTATAAAGATAGTACCTGGCACGGGTTCAAGAAAGCGTCGTCCAGGTTAACCTTGGTGGACGGGTAATCTTATTGATCTTTGGTGTAAATTGTCAACTGCAGAAAAGCAGTGGTTGCAATGTTATAATAATGCTGATAGATTTTCTTTTAAAGCTCAATATGTTAGTATCCGTAAACAGTTTGATGCAGAAGTCCAAAGGGCTAAGCACCGTCACTGGTACAACCTTCAGAAGGATATATTAGATGAATGTAATGTTGATCGTTCTAGTTTCTGGAAGTCTGTTGGTAGAATTTGTATAACACAAGCTAACAAGAAAATAACTCCCGATGAAATTGTTCTGCCTGACGGCTCTGTGTCCGCAGATTCTTGTGACGTTTTACTTAAATGGAAAATAGAATTTAGAAATTGGTTTAATAATCCAAATGTATCTTGTGATAACATGTATATTAATTTAAATGGTGATTATGATTCAGTTTTAATAGTGATAGTTCTGTTTTGGAAGTCAAAATTTGTTATTGATGAAAGCAAATTGTATTGATGGAATACCTACTGAAGCCTTAAAGAATGACACTGCTGTTATGTATAGTTACGCTCTGTTTAATGTATGTTTTAAAAGTGGTACTTTTCCAAATATTTGGGGTAAAAGTGTCATTAACCCTATTCCTAAGTCTGCAGGTATGGATCCAAGGAACCCATTAAATAGGGGAATTTCTTTAACTTGTTCTGTTTATAAACTTATTGTGCTATTTTTAATAATAGACTAAGTAACTTGGCTGAAAATTGAGATATCATTGTTGACGAACAGAATGGGTTTATAAAGAAAAGAAGCACTATTGATCATTTATCTGTTTATCTACGCTAACAAATATAATTGATACTAGGAACAAGAACGTGCTTGTTAAACACAAACACCCCCGGCTCAGATTCTTGTCAGTAACAATATTTAAAATAAAGGCTGTATGGGCAAAAGTGTAAAAATTCTATTTTAGCACTGGTGACCTTGACCCAACTGACCCCTAACTCCATCCAAAGGAAGAATATCATGCAACTTATTTTGCTACCAAATATGAAATAAATCTGTCAATATATAAAGGCTGTATGAGCAAAAGTGTAAAAATCTATTTTTAGCACTGTTGACCTTGACCCAACTGACCCCTAACTCTATCCAAAGGAAGAATACCATGTAAGTTATCTTTCTGCCAATTATAATACAAATCTGTCAATAAATAAAGGCTGTATGAGCAAAAGTGTAAAAATCTATTTTTAGCACAGGTGACCGTGACCCAACTGACCCCTACCTCCATCCAAATGAGAATACCTCAATTTTATGTACCTACAAAATATACAAGACATCTGTCGATATAATAAGGTTAATACACCTGTAAAAGTGTAAAAAAAACTATTTTTGACATTGGTGACCTTGACCCAAATGACCCCTTACTAAAGGAAAAGGAAGAGGACCTCCCTTGGTATGACTATTATAAACATGAAAGACATTAACTTAAAAATAAAGGCTGTATGAGCAGAAATTTTTAGATTTATTTTTTTTTACACAAGTGACCTAGAATTGACCTAGAGACGCCTAACGCCACAAAAAAAGGACCGTTAAAGGTATCAACCTACCAAATATGAAAGATATCATTAAATAAATTAAGTAATTAGGTGATTTTTTTTTATAAATCCAACTTGGCGGAATAGGTTAACCATACAAGGCCCTATTTTCAAAGTGATAAAAAGGGAAATTACTGGGAAAATGGATGGCACATTTATATAACTTGGCAATATCATGTACATTGTATTTATAAGTAAGTGTGAAAATTATTAAGCCATTAGTTCAGATAGAACATAAGATATTTCCAACTTGCCGGTTTAGGTTAACCATTATTCATTTTCTAAGTGCTGAAAAGGGCCATAATTTGGTGCAAATGGAAGCCATATTTATGTAACTTGCCCAGATCATATACTTTGTATGGATTAGTAAGTGTGTAAATTATGAAGCCATTGGTAAAGGTAGAACTTAAGAAAAATCCAACTTGCCGTTCTAGGTTAACCTCGTACGGACAGACGGACGGACGGTTCAATTACTATATGCCCGGGGGCATAAAAAAGGCAAAAAGTCTACATTGGCTGCTTTTATTGATTAAAAAGGCATAATTAAGAGATTTACTATGGAAAAAATTGTATGACATAGGTATAAAAGGTAAAATGTTGTGTGCTGTACAATCTTTGAATGATATTGTATATTCATGTGTAAAAATTAACTCCAAACATATTGACCGGTTTACTGTTAAGTTTGGATTACGTCAAGGCTGTATATTGTCTCCATTTTTGTTTAATTTACATATAAATGATCTTACTGTTTACCTGAAACTCTTGATATTAGCGCTATTTATGGATCTGATAAAATATGTATATTACTTTATGCAGAGGAAAAGATGAGAAAGATTTGCAATGTTTATTAAATGTGCTAAATAATTGGTGTAGCACCAACGATATGGTTATAGATAGCAGCAAAGGTCAAATTGTCCAATTTAGACCTTTATCTATATGTAGAACATCGTTAGGTTTTATATGTGGTGTTCACACACTTAATATCATTCATAGATATATGTATTTGGGATTAATATTACTGCAAGAGCACTTAGATTTCAATGATCCGGCAAAGGTTGTAGCTCAAAGTGCAAGCCGGGCACTTGGCTTTAATATTGCTAAATGTAAATCGGCTGGTGGTCTACCCACCTATATGATTCTACGGTTTGGCCAACAATCAGTTATGGTTCTGCTATATGGGATTATCGTTCTTACCCGTGCATTAACGCAGTGCAGTTTTGCGCTTCTTTTTATATACGCCTAACGTCGCGGTTTCGGGTGAAATTGGATGGATACCCCTAGAAATCAGACAGTGGTAATCCATTGCTACTCATTTATCTAGATTGTCTTATATGCTTGATTGTAGAATAAGCAGACGAGTTGCATCTGCAGCAAATAGGTCATGTAAGAACTGTTTTTTGTCTATGTTAATGACATGTTAAAAAAAAGTAATGCGCACCAGTATTGTGATATAAGAATTTCCATTCCAAAAAACATACTTTAGTGAATATTGTTACAACTAAATTGCAAGAAAAAATTGTTTAAAACTGGCTCGAATCTTCAAATAGTGTCACAGGTCCTTCTGGTCGTGGTTGCAATCAGCTGCGTTACATATCGACTGTTTAAAAGAGAATATGTATTGTACACTCATTATGCCTCTATGTCATCGCACTGCATTTAGCAAGTTTCGTTATGGTGACGAGCCTTTACGCATAGAAACAGGGCGTTACGAAGACTTAGATGTATTGGAACGAAAATGCCAGTTCTGTGATAGTATTGTAGACGAAAGCCATGTCATTCTTGGTTGCTTTGTGCACGATGACTTGCGACAATCTTTAATTGATGAAGCTAAAACATAAGATAATGCATTTTAAGAATGTCAAAAAATGAACAATTGATATTTCTCTTCACTTAAACTGAATTGATACGTTATTGTGCCAAAACATGTTTTTATATTCTACAACGTCGTCTTTTATTTCTTTATAAATAATGCCATGATTGTACTTGCTTTAAACATGATAATGTAATTTTACCTAGGTTTAGGTAATCATTGCTAATCAGTTAATGCAAGATCTTATCTTGGATGACAATCGATATTTTAAAATGTTTTAAACGCGCGTAAGGGCTCCGATTTACAGTTCTCAATTTCTTACATCATCTTTTTAGGGCAGTTTTTATTTTTCGATTAGCGATGGCTCATTTTCTGTATATATACTTTGCAATTGTACTATTTGATTCTAGTCTAACTGTAATAGGTCTTGAATATGTTTCTCATTGATATAATGTCTCCTGAAATTCTTAAATAGAATGGTCGTATGCAGATTTTATGTGAATAATTGTATAATATATGTAATTAAATGTATGTATATGAGTGAGACTCGTACAGAAGTCCTATTTTTAATAATAGACCAAGTAACTTGGCTGAAAATTGAGATATCATTGTTGACGAACAGAATGGGTTTATAAAGAAAAGAAGCACTATTGATCACTTATCTATTTATCTACGCTAACAAATATAATTGCTACTAGGAAAAAAAAGGTAAAAGGTCTACATTTGCTGCTTTTATTGATTTTAAAAAGGCATATGATAACATAAATTAGAGATTTACTATGGAAAAAATTGTATGATAAAGGTATAAAAGGTAAAATGTTGTGTGCTGTACAATTTTGTATGATATTGCGGGGCGCGAACATCGTCACGCTCATTAGCGTCCTATAACAAATAAATATTGCAAATTAATCTACTTTTTGCCCCACCCCTACGCTAAATAGCGTGATTTTTCTCCGCGCTCCAGCCATTTTACTTTGTTATTCCTCGACACTTTGCTTTCAGGGGTCGGGTGCAAAAACACGAATGGCACAAAGAAGCTACCATATATGATAGAATATTTCATCCCTATCATACCAATGATCGTTTGAAATATTTTTGTTGCTCAAAAAGTTAATTAACATTTGATGACCTTTCATCTTAGCATAAAAAGAAAACAAATAAAGCGAAGCGGAAATTTTCAGAATCAATAATCTTTTAAAGTCTCCATTGAAGAGATACGAAAAAATTAACGTAAGTTTAAGAAAAGGAACGTTTTGTGAAACACACTTACGATTTACGTAAGTTTAAACGTAATTAAGCGTAAAATTATGAAAATACTTACGAAAAACTGAGTAAATTGTTAGTAAAACGCTGCCCTGGTGAGTAACGACGAGTTATTATTAAGTATAACACTTAGAACCTGACCCGTAGCGTCTAACGTGAAATGGTCGAAAACAGACATTCATCATCAGCATAAGTCGATTGTTACGTTAACGTTACAAGCATTTATTTCCTCTCTACTGATATTTTACTAAAATTAGAGTCTTTTATGATTTGTTTCATAGTTGTGTTTCTGTGTATCGCGATGTAATGATGACGAAAACTCGATATAACACCGAATTTACACCATCGTATCATCGCGACTTCGCAATTTCACCATCGAATCTATTGTGTTTTCACAATCGTACCATCGTGTTTTCACCATTGTGTTGTCGTACTATAGCGTTTTTAGCATCGTACTATCGATAAAAAGTCACAATTGTCTGAACGCTACACTGTACAAAATGAACTTAATTAATTTGTAAATAAAAAAACTCTTAATCATTTATTATATGCCGAAGAATTTAGTATCAGGGACGTGTGTTTTTGATCAGATTCCCATGCATGGGTCACGGCTGCAATAATTGTGAAAGGTCAAGTTAAAGGTACAGCATTTTCCAACTCAGAAGAAATAAATGATGATCACTCTAGTGATTCATGTTAACGAGGGCGATCATTTTTATGCGATACGAGGCACTGCTAATGAAGACTGTAGTGTTAGGAGTGATAAAAGAATAACCGCAACAGCTTTTTCTAGCTGGTTGCTGTTTAAGATAAAACCTTCCATAATACATAGACTTCGATTTTTTAATCATTATCTCTCAAATCCTTTACGTAATATTTAATGTAAAACAAAGCAATGTTAGTTATATAAACACTAAGATACAATATCTGAATTTAAACAACTGTTTCTGATAAAATATGCTGTATTTATTATTTTGTAAAGGGGTTCTTTTGGGAGAAATAAAGCAAATGTATGATTAAAGGCTAAGCATTGCAGACATTTTTTTATATAAGTGTTTCACATGAGTTGTCATATAAAATTTGTTTACACGAGTTTAAGAAATGAGCTTTATAACATTTTCGTAAACGATTTAAGTAAGCAATTTTATTTCACATGTATAAAATGTAACCAATAAACTCTCTCAGCATTTGTGCCACACAAATCATTATTGGATCAAACCTGATCTCATCTCCAATTTGCCAGCCATAAAACTCCATATTTTATCACTTCTGTAGCCCATCATTTTTACTTTCAGAGTCCAATCTTAAGTCATTATTACAAACCCTATCTTATCCATTTGTTTCGTTCCTATTTGCCCAACATATTAACGCTAATGAAAGTTCGCCAAAAATGACAGAAGCATGTTGCATGCCATTTAAAGCAAATGCAAAACTTCTTTCATCATTACCACAATCTTACTTAAGCTTCTACGTGTATTAAACACAGGTTATGTAGTTGTATTTGTTTAATTTAAAACAAACAATTTTAAAAAATCATTATATCAAATTTGATATGGTTACAAAAAAGACACACGAAAATGTACGAAACTTATCGTACAAAATACCCCATAGAATTGTTAACTGTTATTTAATTGAATTCAAATAATGTAATTAATCACGTATAATGTACGAATTACCATAACTTACAAGGGCGTTTGTTTTCATATTGTATTACAAACAGGGATATTTTTGTCTTAGTTTCAGGTATTGATCGAAGCAAAATTGATATCCCTTATGTAACGTTTTTATAGAATGAAAACCGATTTTTTTATCCATTTAGGTCTCACAAAAATAACGTTATTACTTGTTTTGAGTCTTGTAAAATTTCAAATGACTGTACTATATAAGTATCAGGTATTAAAAATCAAAATCAAATCAAATACGTATTTGTTTTGCGTGGCATCTAATAAAATTAACAAACATGAATAAATTTGTTGCGTCAGAGTATATATCAATCCGATATTTTCGGCCAATTTCCGTCAAACTTCGGATATTAATGATAGCTGCGGTGTTCGGATTGGGTGTATATTACGAGCTTAAGATACCGTAAATACTGACGCAGTTGTCAGCAACATATCAAATTAAGGGGACTGGCTAAGTCCACAAAATTTCTAGTTTTTTCGGTGCCTTGTTTACAATATTCACGGTGAGGTTTGGAGCAGATGGTCTACGGGAGAGAGAAGATGTCGAGTTTCTTCCAAATTTCACTCGTTTTAATTATATCCACAAAAAGTGTAAAAGAGTTATTTATTCTCATTTGTTATTTTAAAATATGCATCCATGGTAGCATCTTTTTCCGTTTTACTGTAAGTGACACAGTACAATGCCAAACAAATCTTTTAATAAATAAAACAGTTTGTTAGATATGTTTTAATGAGAGACATCTAAATAAGTGACACATGTAAGCACTTATGTTATTCATTCACACCATTTTATTTCAAAACAGAAATTAACAAAATATATGACCCTGGTTATATAAGTATGAATTTCACAAAGCATGATATTGCATATTTTCACACAAAATGGTTTTTATGTAAAATATCTGCATAAAATGCATTAAAATATGAGATCAAATTTTACTAAATGTTCGCTGCTACATAACTAGACAAATGTCTGCAAAGAATCCATTTCGGCAATGTATAATAATTATGAGAGTAGTTTTTTTTAATTTATTAAACTAGCAACATTTTTTATATTTTGTGATTTTATTTGATAGTCCGTGCTTTAATTCCATTGTTTGCATGTGTGTCCCTATCCTGTTTGCCCGCTAGTGGCAAATAACATCCATAGAGGACAGGCATAAAATTCCTATAAACGTAACTTAACTTATTTTGTCCTATACGTATAGTAAAGTAGATAGAAGTTTAATAAGTTCCTCATAACTGGAATATTAGAATAAAAACACTGGAAAAATTACGACAGATAAATTATAAATATAAATTGTGGTCATCTTTTCTTTGACATCTTTGTTATCAATGGAAATAGTGTTGTGTCCATCACACACTATAAAATGCTTAAAATAATTTATCTTTAGACTCGGGAACAAGACTACCTGGGTGAGAGGTTGATACATATATCTGGTTTCTCCGGTCTCAAGTTTGAAAACAGCACCGAATAAAACTTGTACATTCAAAAACTGCCTTTGAAGCCAACTTTACAAAATGCCTTTTTCTCCTTTCTAACAGAACTTGCTCTTTCCTATCTTCTGATATTCTGTAAATTGAAATGTTTAGCATTTGCGCCCGAAACTCCTGCTGTGCCATTTTATGGAGTAGGTTTTGACTTGAGTTGTGATGAAAATGTAGAAATACCCACTCGTTTCTATGTGTATTGTACCATCTTCTGTAACATATCTTAGCCTAGGACAAGAAAACGATTGGGAAGGTACTATTCCAAACAGCATCGAAGAAAGCGTTCATTTGATCTACAAAATAAATGACGTATTAGAATCGGTGGAATATGCGCAGTCATCTATTTTCAATGTTAAAGAGTTTTTGATTAGGATTCAGGCGTGACATGACTGCAAACAATCTTTAAATATGATTTTTTCATGTTTGAAGCGCCCAAAAATGACTTTTTTCATTCAATAGCCACTTTCGTTTAACTTATCCCCTTATTTCAAGGGAACCATTTTATTTAATTCAATAATAAATGAAAATTTCAAAATCTACAAAAATTAATTTTTAGTTTACTTTAGTAAGTTTTTCAGATTAATCCAAGGCCAAACATCTTACAATTTTTTGATAATTTTAAAAAAATATGTCTTTAAACTGAAAGGATATTTTCATATCATTTTGACTATAAAATCAATTTTGCGTTGTGCCCTCACATATTAACAATAAATCAATAATTTTCCATAGGATTACCCCTTGTTGAATTTCACCCATAATACCCAACAAGATTTGCTTCCAGCGGTACAGTCTTCTTTTCGGAACAGTTAAATGCCGTCATATCAAGTGATGTATATTCTACATAAATAATACAACATTAAATATTTAGTTTTCTACATTAAGCAAATTAATTAGTACACTAGCGGTAGTTCGGTTTACTTCTCTCCACAAAGGGGATAAAAACATGGGCTCATACAATGATTGGAATGCGATTTTACATATATATAGTATCAAATAAAATTTTGTTTCATGTTTGAAATAATTGAAAGGCATTTAACTTAGTTGAATAAAAGAAATCATTATTAGATACTGTTTGTATCAAACATATTGGTGTATGTACTGTAGGTAAGTAGATAAGTATACTATAACTTACCGGGAAAAGCATTGTCATTATACTTGTCTTTAACAATCTGTGAATAAAAATAAAATACAAAGTCTATGGCATATCTAATGTTGTTAAAATGCATTTCATTTGAATTAAAGAATAATTTATCATGTAAGATAGTTATGATATTGTTTATGTACCTTGGCGGAAACTTTATTGAGGACAATGCTCATAGATCCACAACATAATTTTGTTTCTTTTGTTTCGTTGGCCTTCTCCTTAAGTCCATCTGGACACTGGTGTCTATCATCTTCAACAGTTATAAGTGTCCGCAACGGGAGGCACACGATGGATTCCTTTGGAGCTATTATATCCGACCTTAATTGTCGCCAGTGACCGGCAAGTAACCACAGGGATATCAGTTCAGCAACAGTCGTAGAAATAAGGACAATCAGTAATGTTTTCTGGAATGAAAATAGAGGGATGTATGTTTGATATGTTGCATAGGTAGGCTTGATCGCAACCACTTTGTATGCTTTTTGAGTGTAGGTTTAGTTTTAACTTTGATTTAACAAATCGTTACATTCTGCTCTTGTAAGATATGTTATTGATATATCTATGTATACCTTCATGCAATGGGTAAGGAATTTTTCTCTATAAGAAAATCAATATGCTTAATGCTGGGCTATTTTTACGGCAGAAAAATGGGACAAAAAATGCCAATGTTACAATGATATAATTAAAAACAAAATTGACAGTATCACACATATGGTCAATTATCAATAGGTTTATTTCTTAATGACTTGTAGAAAATGGTCAACCACATATAAACTCTTGAAAGATTGCCAGGACCTAAAATGGAAACAGGGCAAAAAGTTTTTAAAGACACAAAAGATGAGGCAGGGAGGTGTTAACGGATTTATAAAAAAATATTAGTATACATGCATGTCGAACTTTGACATTGTTTTCAAAAATGATGGGAATTAAGGGAATATATGAATTCGAGGTATTTCTCAATTAAAAGAATAGACTATTGACATACATTTTGCAACGTTAGATATGACCGAAGAGCAAAATAATCCTCTCTAGGAAGTACATTTAAATTAATGAAATATTCTATGTTTTAATGTCCGATTATTACAGACCACTATTCGTTAAAATTTGAAAGCACGGTTAAACAGTTTAAGACTTAAAAGAAAAAAGACACAAAAATGAACTTTACCTGATATGCAAAGTGTGATCGTTCTTTCCTAATTGAATTGTTTGATTGCATTTAAAATCAAAATTCTGGAAACAAAGTGATCCCAAGTTCACTTTCCGCCATACATTAAATTGAGTGAGAGCTAGAAAAATTCTACACTAAAAACCTCAAGGTATCTAAAAATAGCACCAGCTACGAGCAAAAAATACTTTCGTGTAAAAAACTGGAGAGTCGATATATAATATTACAAAGTGTTAGCTCAAATTCGCATTCATGTTTACTTTCGGTCTAAATCAATGTTGACAATCAATGACGTGTATATAGCCTATGGTAAATAGCGTGAACATTTTAAAAATGCTATGTTTGAAAATGTACCTTATACATCTATAAAGATAGGACCTGGTACGCGTTCGAGAAAGCGTTGTCAAGGTAAACCTTGGTGGACGGATAATCTTACTGATCTTTGGTGTAAATTGTCAATTGCAGAAAAGCAGTTGCAATGTTATAATAGAGCTGATAGAGTTTTTTTTTAAGCTCAGTGTGTTAGTATCCGTAAACAGTTTGATGCAGAAGTCCAAAGGGCTAAGCGCCGTCACTAGTTCAACCTTCAGAAGGATACATTAGATTAATGAAATGTCGATCGTTCTAGTTTCTGGAAGTCTGTTGGTGGAATTGATATAACATAAGCTAACAAGAAAATCATTCCTGGCTGTGTCCGCGGATCCTAGTGACGTTTTTTTTACTTAAATGGAAAATAGAATTTAGCAATTTGTTTAATAATCCAAATGTATCTTGTGATAACATGTATTATTTTGTAAATGGTGATTATGATTCTGTTTTAATAGTCACTGTGATAGTTCTGTTTTGGAAGTAAAAATAGTTATTGATGAAGGTAAACTTGGTAAAGCAAATTGTAAAGTGAAACCTTAAAGAATAACACCGCTGTTATGTATATGTACGCTGTGTTTAATGTATGTTTTAAAAGTGATACCATTCCAAATATTTTAGGTAAAAGCATCATTAAACCTATTCCTATGCCCGCAAGTATGGATCCAAGGAACCCATTATCATATAGGGGAATTTCTTTAACTTGTTCTTTTTATAAACTTCATTGTGCAATTTTTAATAATAGACTTAGTAACTGGGCTGAAAATTGAGATATCATTGTTGACGAACAGAATGGGTTTATAAAGAAAAGAAGCACTATTGATCATTTATCTATTTATCTACGCTAACAAATATAATTGCTACTAGGAAAAAAAGGTAAAAGGTCTACATTTGCTGCTTTAATTGATTTTAAAAGGCATATGATAACATAAATTAGAGATTTGCTATGGAAAAAATTGTATGATAAAGGTATAAAAGGTAAAATGTTGTGTGCTGTACAATCTTTGTATGATATTGCGATGCGCGAACATCATCACGCTCTAGGCGTCCTATAACAAATCAATATTGCAATTTAATCTACTTTTTGCCCCACCCCTACGCTAAATAGCGTGATTTTTCTCCGCGCTCCAGCCATTTTACTTTGTTATTTCTCGATACTTCGCTTTCAGGGGTCGGGGGCAAAAACACGAATGGCACAAAGAAGCTACCATATATAATAGAATATTTTATCCCTATCATACCAATGATCGTTTGAAATATTTTTGTTGCTAAAAAAGTTAATTTAAATTTGATGACCTTTCATCTTAGCATAAAAAAGAAAACAAATAAAGCGAAGCGGAAATGTTCAGAATCAATTATCTTTTAAAGTCTCCATTGAAGAGATACGAAAACTTTAACGTAAGTTTAAGAAAAGGAACGTTTTGTGAAACACACTTACGATTTATGTAAGTTTAAACGTAAGCGTAAAATTATGAAAATACTTACGAAAAACTTAGTAAACTGCTAGTAAAACGGGTCCCTAGTGAGAAACGACGAGTTATTATTAAGCATAACGGATAGAACCTGACCCGTAGCCTCTAACGTGAAATAGTCGAAAACAAACATTCATCATCAGCATAAGTCGATTGTTACGTTAACGTTACAAGCATTTATTTCCTCTCTACTGATATTTGACTAATATTACTAAGGTCTTTTATAATTTGTTTCATAGTTGTGTTATTGTGTGTCGCGATGTTACAATTGTGATTTTTTATCGCTGGTAAGATGTTGAAAACGTTATGGTACGACAACACGATGATAAAAACACGATGGTACGATGCTGAAAACACGAAGAAACAATTATGAAAACACGATAGACTCGATGGTGAAATCGCGATGGTACGATGTTGAAACGCGATGGTATATCGAGTTTTCATCATTGTGACACCGTACAAAATTCATTTAATCCATATTTTTTAAACAAAACAAATCTTAACCGAGGAATGATTATATGCCGACCGAGGAATGCATATGTTTTTTCTTCCAATTAGCGAAAATCTAACATAAAATTAGAGGTTAATTTTATAATATATATCTTTTTTTCAGACTTTAAATATATATATAAAGGTTCAATCTCTGTTAACTTTATGTCACTTAATGAGAAGTCATGACGGAAATTTTATGCCAAAGCAGCCAAATATAAATAAAGTAAGTAAAACATACGTGTTGTGTTTATGTTGAAAAAGCAATACTCTCAAGCTGCATAACAATTGCAAATTTTAAATGTATGACCTCCCTTGGTATATTTATGAATTTCCTTGAATAGGTTATTTAATGACGCATAAAACGGTACAATAATAAACTAGAGTCATGATCAAAGATAGAAATATATACGGCTCATTGTGAAAGAATTTTGTAGTTGCGCGAATACAACAAAAGTATGAATCATAGTATTGTACTTTGAAATTTACTAACGTTTGAAAATAAATGCACCGGGTTATATTACACGCAAATCCATTTTGCCGTGGAAAAGCGGTGCCATTGACTTGGATTTTCAAATATGCCGGAGGGCGGCATATTAAAACCATACTGTCCATCCGTCTTTCTGTGCGTCCACACTCACAAAACATTCGTGTCTGGACCGTAACTTTGTCATGCATTGAATGATTTTTAAATAATCTAGCATATATATATATATATATATATATATTAATATATATATATATATATATATATATATATATATATATATATATATATATATATATATATATATAATCTACCATATAAAGAACATGTAGCCTTGAAGACCCATGTAAATACCTCCAAGGTCAAGGTCACACTTATAGTTTAAAAGTACTCATTTTCACAAGGAGAGTTGAAGGTACACATTCGTTTCTGGACTGTTACTTTGTCATTTATTGAAGGATTTTAAAATGATCGACCACTGTTCCATAATAATATTTTCCAACATTTTTAAAAAAGCAAATTTCAGGTTCATCGTGAAATTCTACACATAGTATTTAAACGGTTATAACGTAAACCAAAAAAGAAATGCTAAAATGAAAGGTCATCAAATGTAAACAATTGACGTCTCGAGTTAAGAAATAATAAATTGATATTATTTTAAATAATTACAATGAATATTTTTGAAAATCTTAAATGTCAAACCTTAGTGGAGTCCATTTAATTAAGTTACAAAAATGTAATATAGAACCGATTAGAGGCAATATTAAACGTTTATGAAAAAACCCTGACAACTTCACAAATGTTCTCTAGTTCACATTTAGTCGGTTTGTATTCTGTTTCAGTTCAGTCGTCAGAAAACGTTGCATTGTATGTATAACAAAGTGGCAGTCGTTGCTATGGAAAACATGAAACGTTTGTCTTTGATGTTCAGGTATTTACTCTTAAAATCAATATCTGTACACACTCAGCTTTCAAATTGTTGTATGTTTACTTAATAAAATGGGGGGGGGGGTCTTTTTATATTTCCAGATATCTTAAGATAACTTAAAGACTAAGTAGACCTTTTATGAATTAGATTTGCTCAAAAATTTTGTCTCTTTAATTTTTAATTCTTCGTGGTTATATCTTTAATTTAAAAAAAGAACAACCAAAAAACAATGCGGGTATATAAACACAGGAAACATTAAATAAATTTCAAGTTGACATTATGCCCCATCTGAAGGTCTTATATAGTGTGAACAAGTGAACAGTTAAAAAGGTCCAAAATTTAAATTTTTCATTTTTACCATAATTCCTTTTAGTTAAATAAATTTGTCTTGCCATAAACAAATAAAAAACCCTGGGATTTCAAACGGACAATTCTGTAAATATCATTTAGATCTTACTGTAACGCTTCAATTTATAAAAAAGAGTTGGACAGTCTTTTTATAATTTAGGCAGATTTTAAAAAATTTTATCCTAAAACATTTTTTCCAATATTAAAACTATTTGGTCAAACACAATTTAAAAACCAGGCAATCCTTTTGAAATATATTAGCACATTCAGCTCAACTTGACAATGAAAAATGAGCATAATGTCACTTTAAACAACAGTTTCTTTTCTTTTTAGTTACACCAGTACAAACAAATATGGTCTCACATGAGTTGTCATGTCATATAAAATTTGATTACACGAGTTAAAGAAACATTAAGATATAACATAGACATCTGTCGTGCTTTATACATTTTTGTAAACGAGTTTTCGATAAGCAATTTAATTTCACACCCTATCAAAATGTAATAAACCCTTAAAGCGTTTTTCCTGTGCCATATAATTTTCAAAGCATAAATGTGTTTATCGTAATCCTACATGATCTCATCTCATTTTTCCCGTCAAAAAAATTCCATATTATATCACTACTGTACTCCATCGTTTTCACTTTCAGAGTACAAACTTAAATCATTATTGGAAACCATATCTTATCCATTTGTTTCGTTCCAATTTAACCCAGATAGTTAAAAGCTAATGGAAGTTCGCCAAAAATGATAGAAGTTTGTTTCATTCCCCTTTAAAGCATATACAAAAACATAGCGTAAATTTCTTTTTTTTCTTTTTTCCCCATCATTAATTTTTTACCCATGTAACTAAAGTTTCGACGTTCCCATTAAACACGGGTAATTGTGGTTTTTACTTGTTTAAACAAACAATTTAAAATTCATCATATCCAATCTGATATGGTTACACAAAAGGAACTGTTAAATGCTACGTAAATGTACGATTACATATCGTACCAAAATTTACCGTAAGATTTTAACTGTTATTTGATGAATTCAAATAACGTGATTAATCACGTTATAAACGAATTTCCACCCCCAGAAACGGTTGGGTTACATATAAAGGAGTTTCATTTCATTTGGATTACAAACAGGAAAAAATTCTTTCTTAGTTTCAGGTAATGATCTTAGCAAATGATATCTTCACGTTTTATAAAAATGAAACGGATCCTTTTATCTATTTACGTCTCACAAAAAAACCCTTATTACTTTTTAGAGCCCCTTGTAAAATATGATAAAAACAAGATCGACAAGGAAAGGCGGCGTTCAATGAACGCTGTAAAGTTCAAATAACTGCACCCTAAAAGTATTACGTATAACTATTAAAAAAAAAACATTTTTGTGCCTTTTGATAAACAGAAAATGTCGAACGGCATATATGCCCCCTCCCTTGCTAGCATCTTCCTTTACCATTTTAACATTAAATGTTATTGTGACCTCTATCTTTGACCTAGTGACCTCAAAATCAATATGGGTCATCAACTAGTGATTGTCAATTTTATACGGAACAAAAACTAGATAACAAGTAGTTTAGAAGATAATGCAGTGGAATCCATTCTGTACCTAAGGTCATGTGACCTTGTTCCTTTGACCCCTAAATACCCTAAATCGAAAGGGGTCATCTACTAGTTTATAGCCAGCCAAAAAGTGAAAAGACTAAGTGATAAAATAGTTTTCAAGATAATGAGCTGAAACCATTCTGGCATTCAATACCCATTGTGACCTTGACATTTGAACCCCAAAATCTATAGGGTCATTCTACTACATTAATCACTTATCAATTTTATGAAATATGGAAACTGTATTATAAATATTTTATTTTTAAGATAATCAGCGGAAACCATTTGGTCTACCGACGGAAAGACCAACCGACCAACATTAACAAAACAATATACCCCCTATTCTTCGAATGGGGGCATAATAAAACCGTTCGTTAGATATGTTTTAATGAGAAGCTTCTAAAAAAAGGTATGAATTTCACAAAGCATATTATAACATATGTTCACACAAAATGATTTTTATATACAATATCTGCATTAAAATATGAGATCATTTTTGACTAAATGTTTGCCGCTACATAACAATTCAAAAGACCGATGTCTTCGGCAATGTTTTATAATTATGAGAGTAGTTATTAATTAAATTAGCAACATTTTTTTATTTATGATTTCAGGTATAAGCTTGTTTAAAGTGATTCCTTTGTTTTCATGTTTGTCCCTTCCTTTCCTTGTTGTCCGTTGGTGCCAAACTATAGTCAGCAGGATGCGTTCCTCTGAACGTTACTTTCCTTATTTCGTCATATAGCTTTAAGAAGATAAAAATTCAGAAAGTTCCTCATAACTGAATATGGAAATAAACACAATTGAAATATAACGCCAAATAACATAAATGCGCTCATCTTTTCTTTGGCATATTTTTATTGAGATGTGTGTGTACATTACACACTATAAATGCTAAAGTAATTATCTTTAGACCCTGGAACAAGACTACCTGGGTGATAGGTGGTTACATAAAGCTGGTCTCCGGTCTCAACTTTGAAAACAGCACCGATAAAACTTGTACATTTAAAACTGCCTGACGCAACTTTACAAAATGATTTTTCTCCTTCTAACAGAACTTGCTCTTTTCTATCTTCTGATATTCTGTAAATGAAATGTTTAAAATTGGCGCCCGAAACACCTGCTGTGCCATTTTTAATATAATGTTTTGACTTGAGTTGTGATGAAATGTAGAAATACCCACTCGTTTCGATGTTTAGTGTTCCCCACGTCTGTCAGATATCTTAGCATAGGACAAGAAAAAACGATGGATAGGTGCTATTCCAAAAAAACAATCTCGAACAATCGTTTCGTTTGATCTAAAAAAATAAATGATAAAATAAACTTTTACAAAATAAGGGGAATAATGCGTTCATTCTGTTTCAATTGTTAGAGTTCAATTTGTTATCAGGCGAGACATGACTGCGAACAATCTTTAAAAAATGATTTGCCATGATTGAGCGCAAAAAATACTTTTTCATTTTCATAGCACTTTTCGTTAATTATCCATATTTCCAGGAACCCATTTTATTTTATTCAATAAAAAATGATTTTATTTTAAATTTAAAAAAATTTAAACCTTAATTTTAGTTTACTTTAGTGAGTTTTCAGATCACAAGCCAAAACATCTTACAATTTTGATAAATATGTTTTAAAATCTGAAAAGGATATTATCATATCATTATTGACTATAAATTAATTTTGTGTGTGCCTCATATTATTAACAATAAATCATAAATGTTCATAGATTACCTTTGTTGATTAAACACCCAAAATACCAATCAGATTGGCTTCCGGCGGTAACAGTCTTCTTTTCGGAACAGTTTAATGCCGTCATATCAAAGTTGATGGATATTCTACATAAATTATTCAACATTAAAAATTTAGTTTTCTACATTAGCAAATTACTTAGTACCACCAGCGGTAGTTCGATTTTACTTCTCTCCACAAGGGGGATAAAATAATGGGCTCATACAATTGATTGGAATAGATTTACATAATTATTTATTATCAAATAAAATTTTGTTTCTTTTTTTAAAATAGTTATATATATATAAAGCATCATTGTATAGATGAAGGGGGATATTTAACGACACAGGCAAAAATCGCATAAAAATGCCAATGTTACAACGACATATTTAAAAACAAAATTAACAGTATCACACATATGGTAAAAATCAATAGATCAAGATCAGTATCAAAATCAGTATATATAAAAAAGAAATCAATATTAGATACTGTTTGTATCAAACAAATTAGTGCATGTACTGTAGGTAAGTATCACACATATGGTAAAAATCAATAGATCAAGATCAGTATCAAAATCAGTATATATAAAAAAGAAATCAATATTAGATACTGTTTGTATCAAACAAATTAGTGCATGTACTGTAGGTAAGTATAGTATAACTAACCAGGAAAAGCATCTTCATCATACTTGTCGTTAACAATCTGCAAAAAAAAAAATAAGATAAAAAGTTTATGGCATATCTAATGCTGTTAAAATACATAACATTTGAATTAAACTATACTTTATCATGTCCAATAGAAATGATGTTGTTTATGTACCTTGGCGGAAACTTTATTGAGGATAATGCTCATAGCTCCACAACATAATTTTGTTTCTTCTGTTTCGTTGACCTTTTCCTTAAATCCGTCTGGACACTGATGACTTTCTTTTTCACCAGATTCTATGATAAGTTTCCGCAACGGGTGGCACATGATGGATTTCTTTGGAGCCATTTTATCCGACCTTAATTGTCGCCAGTGACCGGCCAATGCCAACAAGGTTATCAGTTCAACAACAGTTGCGGATATAAGGACAATCAGTAATGTTTTCTGGAATGAAAATACAGGGATGTATGTTTTAGTATATTGCATAGTAAGCTTGGTCGAAACCACTGTGTATGCTTTTTGAGTGTAGATTTTGAACTTTGATTTCACATAGCGTTACTGCACTACTTAATTGTGTTATTGGCAGAATTATTCCCTATTTTAAAAGAAAATAAATATTTTGCTTCATAAGTAACGGCTGAACATAATCAATAGTACATCAGTAATGAATGAGTGTATCAACGTGCAAAAAAGTCCAAACATTGATTGAAGAGGACGAGGTCAAGGTGCACGTGTTAAAGTAAACAATGTAACATGGAATATAGGTGGCATACGTAAATTTACAGAAAATCTATCATTTATAAACTACATTCAGTCGTTTAATATCATTGGAAGAGTTGAATCATGGAGTGATTATAGTTGGGAGTACGATAATTTACTTGACCGATACACGTGTTTTGATCATGTACGGAAAAATGTAATAACGCGTTTCGTGATCGTGGTGGTGTACTTGTTTTTGTTAAATTTGTATTAATATCGAACAGTTTAATATGTAGAATAATTATGTGTAAATTTTATTGATTGTGTACTTCATTTATGAAAAGTTCAATGTTTTATAATATGCAAGATTTACGATAGTTTATGTACGTGGGTCGAACAATATAAAAAAGGACGAGGCTCGAGCAGGTATTAGGGCAGGACATTTTTCAATAGATGATATATTTACTTTGTAAATTTAAGTATAAAAATATCTTATCGAACCGGGTGGTATATTTTAAGTTCTTTATGTTGAGTTTCAAAAGGCTTTTAATTGTATATTACATCACAAATTGTTTATTATATAATTGTTTACATATGGTCGGGGTGAGGGTAAATATCTTACGCCTACTGATATTTGTGTATTCGAAGCTGACAAAGTAACTTAGTAAAATCTTTCATTTCATTTCATTTCTTTATATTCATGATTTATCTCGCTTCCTACGAACAAGGGGTCATCGAAGCATTTTCATCACGTATCAAATTCATGATATAATTTGTATTCTTTTGCAGATGACGTTGCAAATTGCGCCCAAAACAGCAATCGAAGTGCAATTAAAATTAAATGCCATTGCAGAATTGGATACGTGATCTGATACAGCATATGTTTATATCGCACATAATAAATTGTTCTAGAATAAAATGTCATTATTTATCATTGAAACACTTTTATTATTTTTTTGTGTTATAAATATTTTAAATACATTGAAAAATGTGCCCTCGGTAGACCTATTCAATTTAATAAATACAAACGTTCGTTACATATATTTAATGAGATGCATGTAAATGAAAAAGAAAAAAATATCGCTATGATGTTATTGATCCACGTCAGAACAACTTCTTCTGAAGAACTCTTTTTTCCTGCTCTTCTACAAAATTACTATTTTCACATGCAGAAAGTTGTTTATTTTTATTTTAGAACCAAAACTAGCAATCAAAATTAACATAGGGATATAAGTATGAATTTTACAAAGCATATTGTCACATAATTACGCACACAAATATATAATTACACACACAAAAAATGTGTATGAGAATAGTTATTACCTAAACTAGCAACATTATTTTATTTGCGATTTCAGGTCTAGCCCTGTTGAAAGTGATTCCTTTGTTTTCGTGTGTGTCCCTATCTTTGTTGCCCGTAAGTGACAAATAACATCCATAGTAGTCAGGGTGTATTCCTCTAAAAACAAAATTCTTTAAACTCCCCCTATAGTTTTAATTTTACCTTTTCCCTCATATAAGCGTGTTTCGACGTCTTTTTGTCCCCCCCCCTTTTGAGGCCTCAAACAGTGAAAAAATGCCCTATTTAAATGGCCATTTTTACCAATAAGCTCATGGGGTAAAAGGTTAATTAAAAAAATAAAAAATGTCAAAAAAACAACAATTTTTCACCAAAATTCAGTGTTAGGGCACGTGTTAACATGGAAAATCTAGTTTATGGGTAGTTCCAAGGTTTTTCATCATATTTTGTTCACCTTTTCCCTCATATTAGCGTGTTTCGACGGCTTTTTGCTCCCCCCCTTTTTTTTTTTGAGGCCTCAAACAGTGACAAAATGCCCTATTTAGGCCCTAAACACTGGTTTTCGTTTGAGAAATGTTGTTAAAAAGTGACCACTTTTTCGGCGCCGTCCCCCATCCAAATGTTAAATCAGCGGGTTGCCAGAAGGGTGATGTGCCCCCTTATGTTTGGGGGTTTGAAGGGGGGCGGATTCCCCCTCATCGCCAAGAAAATTTTGGACATGTGACAGGCTAAAAATGGCCTCAGGTCGATCTTAGGGTAACTAGTAACTGACGCAGAAAAGCCTTTTACTCTATCTCAATTTATTGAGAAGTTGCAGCACTTTGAAATCAGTTTTGATGGAAAAAAAAAACAATGCAAAATAGTGATTTTTGGCAATTTTGAGACGTCCCCCGTTGCCATGGTAACAGGAAATTTACGATTGAGTATGCTGTTATAGACGCTATGGTGTGGTCAACATTTGTGCCAAGTTTCATCAGTATTGAAGCATTTTTCATAGTTTCATAGCAGTTTGAACTTGTTACAGGAGGCTTTTGAATGAAAACGGCCATTTTTCGCAATATGCTCATGGGGTAAAAGATTAATATGTATGACTATATAATTTAAGAAATGGCTGGAAATACTGAAGCAAACAACATCAATGTCAATCTTTTCTTTGACATTTTTCTTATCAATATTTTCATGTCATAAGTTTGGAAATTCCAAATTTATAAGAAAATATCAAATAAGCTCCCTAACTATCGGCTAAACATATACAATAGTAAATCAGTAATGAATGAGCATATCAAGGTGCAAAAATGCCAAATATTATAATTTGTTATTAATTTATTTTTAACTACAGGCATTATATGATAACAAAACAAATCCGTATCCGTGTTCAAAATACAATTACGGGTTACATTCTGAACTCGAGAGGGCATTCTTGAAATATTCTTTTACAATTCAATGATTATCTAATGAGATCAATATCATTTGCTTTAATGTCAATCCAAAGTATGGAATATAATATTATTTTCCTCCATTTACTCAACGAAAGCCGAATTTTCACAAAGTTATGTCAATATTGGAAACATAACGGGGGTTAAAAATGAAACTTGCAGATAAAAAAATATTTGATAATTCATACTGCAATATGAAATGTAGTTAATAAAATTTATTATCTTTTGATAAATTGTTAAACTGCGAGTTTATCTAAGGAAGTTTCTCTATACACTTTCTAAATGTATTCAACATGATTTTATTAACCAATATTTGAGGTACTTCTGTATGTGTTCAAAAGCCATATTCCTGGATATTGTAAAGAGGGTTTCAACGTAAGATAAATGGTAAAAAGTAGATGATCATGGTGAATCATTGTTGAAATGCACGGGAAGATTTTAACAGCAGAAAAAATGACTCAAAATTGCATAGGTTACAATGACATAGTGAGTTAAAAACGACTTGACGGTATCACACATATGGTAAATAATCAAAACTTTTTTTCCTTAAAGACTTGAAAATCAAGATACGCAACCGACAACAGACACATATAACCGACTGACAGTGTATGACGTCGAATAGAAACAGGGACAATATGGGAGTTTATTTAAGAAATAATATCGTTTTCAGCGGTGTATAATCTGCTATTTAACATTTGAGTTTGATGTTTATGTAGGAATTGACTACGAAGGCCGTAGGCGGTTATTATTTTGCATCGAAACGAAAGGACCGGTGTTAAATAACCGCTGAAACTGATATTATTTCGGTATAAGAGAGATCATTCAAACGGAAATCGTTACCGCTGTTGATTCTCGTATAACGCTGTTCTAGTTTCCACCTTATTGTTGCTAATACATATCTACAAAAGTGTTTCACCTTATCATTCAAGCATTTTTTTTTTAAGTTTTAGATATTTTAAACCTTTCAGACTGGATTATATCATGTTTACATCAGTGCTTGATTAATCATCCTTCACCCCCCCCCCCCCATGTCAGTTTATATTGCTGTTATTCTGGTGAGTTGTATACTTAAGATGACGTCATGTGCACAGAAAATATTAAATGAACGGAAAATATGAACAAAACGCGTGTTATTATTGTTGCGTTAAAAGCGTGGTAAACTATCTTACCGCATAGAGAAAAAAATAACAGCCCAGTGAAACAACATAATCTATTGTTATGTAAGCATTTAAAACTTAAAAAAAGTTTACCTGAAATGTGAATTGTGATTTTTCTTCCCTAATTGATTTGTTCGATTCCATTATAACAGTAAACTAATCACACTATACAGGCAAAACATGCTACTGGATATGAAACGGTATGAAGAAACATATTATGATTCTGATCTATAAATAAACTAGTACTAAACTAGGAAGTTCATTCATGGCTATATTTGGCTGATTTGATGATAATTAATGTATTGTAACATGACCAGGATTGACTGAAAAGTGCAGGCAAAATCGTAAGATTCAATTAGACATGAGGTGACTGGACGAAATGGAATGTTTTTAAGTATGAAACTAATTTAGAAACAAACACTATATTGTTTTCTAAAGAAAATGTAATATTTAATCTATTTCAATATTTTGCTATCCCTATATAACAAGCCCATGTGTTATGCATTTCATGTCGTACTGTCGCTCTGCAGGGCGCCAGGCGTATACACGAAAACTGATGACTTTGTCGTACTTTCACTCCGAGAGGCGTCAGTCTTCGGATAAAGACCACTATAGTATGAATGCACAAAAGGGATAAGGTATTTCGGTCTAAAACAAACATTAAAACAAATAGTATTCTAAATTCTTGCATTTGTTGACTTAGTTTATTCCATTTTATCGTGATTTATTACGATAAAATGGAATAAACTTAGTGAAACAAATGAGTTAAGTCCACCTTACTTAAGTAAACGTATAGAAATAAAATAAAACTGTCATTTTTATATACTTTTACACCGAAAGTGCTTATCTGTGGATGATATTTCGAATTTGGCTATGAATGTATGTCAATTTATGTTCTAAATGTCAAATCATAACTTTACCAAAATATAGTTTACTTTCCGTTGAATGTCAATAAAAACATTTGTTACTCACTGTTCAAATTGTGCAAGCTGTTTTTGTTTACATCTGAAGCCACGTGGTGCTATTTTCAGTCCTTATTTAATCAAAGATGAATATGACTAGTAGTATCCATTATCTCCTCGGACTTAAAACCAAATCCGAATTAATGTCAACAAGTTTGCATTATGGACGAGGTTTGTCGCAAGAGTAAAGAGACTTTGATCATAACTGTTTTATTTACAATTACTCTGTGAATATAGTTCAATACGTATGTATACCATCTTTACAACATCGAAATTCATTTGTTCCTACTTAAAAAATCGAAGCGTTGACAAATTATAAATTCAAAGCGTTTACAAATAAACATGAGCGACGTGCGGCGCACGAAAAACTATGTGAAAAATCCACCCTTTTTAACCTTACAACAAAGACGTAATAACTGCAAGTTTTTGGCTGCGAAATTTCGTCTGCATAAAGCGTGACCTTACTTTGTCATGTCCTGTTTATTAGGACTCCGTAACATTATCAGTAGCTGAGAAACATGGCTATTTAACACGTCACTGTCTACGGATTGAAAATAGTCATGACATCAGCCGACGATGTCAAGCTACGAGTGGTAATATTCCGTTATGACATGCGCTTTACAAACAATAACACAGACAAGTAACTTGGTTCAGCAGGCTGGCAAATCTAAATGCTGCCGTTCCTTAGTTTTAGATAGCAAAAAGTTCGGGGAAATTCATTAATCTATAGGTGACGAACAGAGGGGCGGTCACCCTTCAGTCTGTGATTGTCACTCGTAAAGTAAATTGGAGAACATATTGCCATAGTCCGCAGATGTACAGTTAAAAAA